ATGGGGAGGGCAGGAGTTGTTTTTAAAAGATTGTAAAAATAGAGTTAAGAGAAAATGAAATGTGATAGGAAGGTAGAAAAGAGTTTACAATTTCAAAAAGTGAGCAGAGAATGCAGAAAAGATGTAGCAGGTGATGGTTACAGGAAAGAGGTGAAATATAGAAACAAAGTATAGGGAGAGAGGAAAAGAGGACAGTAGAGTTTGGCTATTAGAGAAGAAAGACAGAAAGAGAGACAAATGAAAACCATATAAAACAAAGCCAAAATATACAAACCAAAAAATTCTAACCCTCAAAAGACAAACAAAAATAACTAGGCTTAAAAATGCTGACAACGAGAAAGAATAAATATATATAGGTCCCTGAACCCATCATCACAGTAAGAACAATCTCTCTCTCGCACCCTCCCTCCCTCTCCCTGAAATCAAAAACAAACCCTGGAGCACACAAATAAACACATACAGAGAAAGAGAAAGAAAAAAACATTAATGAATAATGAAAGAATCATCTCTAATGAGGTGGTCAAAATAGTTGACCGGAATGGATGGTCACTGTCTACGCCTGTCTTTTCATTTCTTCTTGAGCTATGTACTGAGCACAAGCAAGCAAGGGCTGGGGGTTTGTAACCCCTTCCTCTTTGTGTGTTGCTCTCTGAGTTTCCAGTTGGAATGACCTAAGATTGAAGTTGTCTGAAATAAGTTTTGGCTTCCCTTCTCATCTGCCCGAGGTTGGATGGATTGGGAAGTGCTGTCAGTTTTGCCTGCATAGACCAGATCAATACCCCCCACCCCCCAGTGGGCTGCTGCAGAGTTGTATGAGGGGAGTTCCAGCAGGTGGAGCGTAGGTCCACCTAAGCTTGGCTGACTTCCTTGGTATGTGCCCTGGAGAGATGAGATCCATCTCCTCTAACAGGAGTCTGGATCTCAGGAGTTTCCCAAGAATTCCACTTGTGGGCACAGGGCCATCCTCAACACACTCTTTTGCCCACAAGCACATGTTTCCAGGCTCAGTCTCTGGGTGTATTCACACCTGCCTGTTCAGATTCTTGACCTGCTTCAGCTGGCCACATGAGTCCCCAGACTCAAAGAAGGATCAAGTTGGCCCCTATTTGTTTTTCCAATTTGAATCCCCCTGGGCACAGTCCTCTCTGTTCCTGTTTCATGCACATTCGGCCATGTGGGAGGTGCTTGCTGATCTCCTGACTCTGCAGCAGCAGCTGCAGCAGGGCTGCTTCCAGATGGCTCTACCTCAGCTCCTTGAGTCTTGAGCCATGGAGCTAGGAATGCAGCCTTCCTCTATTTTGCCATCTTGAATTCTCCCAGATCTTTTWAAAAAAATTAACCAGTTTAAACAATTTGATTGGTGAAATCCACTAACATTCAAAAATTATGGTTGATAGATTCTTCCTCCTGTCATTAAGTGTGTTCTGCTTATTTTGCGCAGTTTCTTTTTTTACTTTCCTTCTTTTTATTATTATTGTGATTTTGTGGTTTTCTGTCATGCCCTAAAGTTTGATTCTCTTCTCTTTCGTGTATTTGTTGGGGGTCTGTGATACCAGTCACCATGGTCTCAAGGTTTTGGAACACAAAGAGGACCTTGGGGGTGATTGCAGTTGATTCTGGGGCTTATAGTACTGTTAGATGCTTCTGTGTAACCAGGAGACCCAGATGATACCTTCTCCATGTCCTAGGGCTTCCAGGGCTTTTGGAAGTAGTACTGTTGTCCCAAAGTTCATAAACCATGTTCTCTGGGTTCCAAGATATGTACAGATCATGTTGGGGCTTTTAGTGCTGGTAGGTATGCTTCTGGGGGTATAGAACATGGGGAAGACCTTCCCTAGGTCCTGTGTGTAGATATAGGTGGTACAGGGCTTGTGGTTTTGGAGCTGTAGGGTATAAAAGATAGTGCCCCAGGGTCGTGTGGGTAAAGCTCTGCTGTGGACAAGGTTGTGGTATTAGTAGTTACTGTCCTAGGGATGAAGGATATGGATGGGAACTCTCCTTGACACCCAGGGTCAGGCTAGAGTTAAGCTAAGGTTGTTTTTCTCCCTGCAGTCTCAAGTCTGTGGTCTTTGAAGATGACCTTTTCTAGTTCTTTCCAGGTCAGCACAAGGGGTTTGTGCCACTGATAGCTGCATTCCTAGAACCATGGAGCTGTGCCAGAAACTCTCTCAGCTCCCAGTAGACAGGTGGAGGTGAAGCCAGGACTCTGCACTAGTGGCTACTGTCCCAAGGTTGTGGGTCAGGGAGATAGACCTTACCTAGATCTGAGAGGCAAAATCAGGTGGGGCTCGGGCTTGTAGCTAAGGCAGCCACTGGCCACAACTTCTGGCAAGAAGGTTTTGGCTGGTAGCCACTAACAAAAGAGGGCAGTAGTTCCCTTAGGAGTTTGTGTAGAAGTGTGAGATAGGACAGGTAGGACACAGGGGAGGAGTGATTGGAAAGCTTTGTTTGGCCATTGTCTACTTTGAGAGCCGGGGGCTGGAGGAGGTCCAAAGTTGCTGCAGGCTGTCCGGCCGGGCCGCGTGGGCTCTCCTGAGCTCCACTCCTGCCGCTGCTGTCGCCGAGCACGCCTGCTGCCTTCCTGCTGGGCGCCTTCCTGCTGGGATGTCAGTGCACGGCCGGCTTGCAATCTTGCAAACCGGTTGGGCACAAAAACACAAGCCAGTCAAACTGAAACAAAGTTTTATTTTGTGAGAGGCCGTGTGTGTCCCCTAACAAGCTGGTCCACACACGTGTGTGTCTACCTGCGCCAGGGGCTTGCACCTCCCCCGGAAGTTCCCTCCTACTATCCTTCCCCAACCAATGGGAACTCTCCCATTACATGAGTGACATGAGTAACCTGAGTCCCGTAAGAGGCCGAGGTGAGCAGCAGGAGTCCATTTACCATATGAATGTAATACTTTTGCAGTGGCTCCTAGCACAAAGTGAGCTCCTTCTTTGGAGCAGAGGAGTCACTTTGAGACCAGCGGGCTTTCTAGACTGGACTTAAAGCTGCTGAGGACCGTGAAGCCCTCCTGCAGCGAGGACTGCGGAGTGCTGTGGTAGGGGGTGCTGGCACCGGCCCCTTTCCCTTATTCCAGAAGTATCCTGACCAGTCAAGAACTGGGTTGAAATTGCGAGCTGCTTTGTTCTTTAGGTTGCCTTCCTGACTCTCTGGGCTTGTTTCCAGAGTTTTCCTTCCCACACTCTCCCGGCTTCTCCTTTGCTGCCCTGGCTCCTCTCCGTGGCAAATTTGTGTTTAAGGCATCTCTGTTCAGCATCTTAGCCCTGCTTCTTATCACTCGATCAAGACAGATGCTTACCCACTCCATTTTCTGTCTTTTCTAATATAGAAAGCTATAAGTTGGCCTCCACTAACAACTCTAAGTATATCTCACTGCATTTGATATGTAGTACTCCCATAATCCCTTCTTCTCTTACATAAAGTCTTGATTGATGAAAGATCTTTTGTATTCATATATTAATTTAAAAATATTTTCCTAGGCCCTCTACAGTCTCTGTTTCTTCCAAGTTGATTCATTCGCTTATTTGTTCCTTCTTATTGGCTTTCTTTCCTGTTGGAGAATTTCCTCCAGTATCTGGCAATCGTTGACCAACTCTTCATAATTCAGAGCCCACATGAAAAATCTGTGAACCTGCGAGAGAGCCTGGCCAATGGGATGGCCATCCAGATGTCTATCTACCTGGGACCCTTTCCTTCCCGAGACAGATGCTTTCCAGCAGCTGGGTGGGCAGATCCTCCCGGCTGCCACACGGCGGGCAGTTTGGGACTTGGGAAGTACAGGTCTCAGCATCTCTAGGCAGACCTCCACCCTTCATTTCCAGGTGACGCCTCACCCTGCTCTCTGCTGGGCCTGTTACCCCTCAATCCCAAGCTTCTTATTCTAATAATTCTAGAGAATAAGCTCCTGCTTCTTAGAGAAATTAGAAGACATTGTACCTGGTCACAGGTGACGCAGCAGGCCTCAGGTGATCTAATAGCTCCTGGTTCAGAGTTTCAACCCACCCCTCTGCTTCTGGCCTACCCACTCGGGCTCTCCTGAGGCACCTGTGGCCTGACCACCACCACCCCCTCCCCAGGTTCCTGGAGGCAGATTGATCTCATCACCAACTCCCTCCTCTGCTCTGGAAGGTCAGTTACCATCCTCAGACCACCTCCCCCTGCACATTATTGTGGGGCAAGTTCCTAGATGTGTCCAAGTTCACTATTGATTTCAGTTTCTTCTTTACTTTGCCATTTTGGCAAGAACTCCAAGAGCAGGAGGCAGAAATATCTTTGCCATCACGAAAGTATTAAATTTTTTCCCCAAATAATCCTTTGTAGGTACTTTCCTTTGTGCCCTATGATGTTCCCCTGAGGCCACGCGACCTATTCTCAGCTTCTCCTCCTGGTAGTAACCCCGTAGCTCTCCTTGGACACAGCTAGTTTGGGGACGGAATCTATGAACCTGTTTGGTGGACAAGACTTTACTTCCCTCCCACCAGTTCTCCCCTCCTCCCTCATCTTCCCAAGGTTTTTAACATCACTTTGGAAATTCCCTATTGGTTGGTTAACGTTGATATCAACACATCTGTAACCATCCTCAGCAACCACATCAGGTCTAATTGCATCTCCATGCTGGGAGGTGAGGCTGTGGCCACTCCCTTCTTCCCTCCCAGTTCACCTTCAGACATTCAAGAACCTCTTAGGGGTGACTTTAGGTCAAAGCTTAGAGATTCCTCCCCTCTGGTCTCTCTTTCCGTAGATTGCCTTCCAGAGCATGTGACCTCTGATGGGGTAGGACCGTCCAACCTCCGTGAGGCCAGGCAGCTGGAGATCTATTCCCCTTTAGAGCAAACTCCAAGGTTGTAGCTCTCCTGGTTTCCCAGGGCCAGGGGTTGTTTACAAGTCTCCCAAGACCCTGAAACTCTTGATGAATTCTTAGCAGGCAGACGTGACCTTGTAGGTGGGGGCCCATCTGGCCAGGCTGTGGATAGTCATTTACCGCCTTCCTTTCCAGATCCCCTTCCTGGGAGCTGGGATCAAGATCCATGAGAAGAGAGTGTCAGAAAACCTACGGCCCTTCCATGACCGGATGGAGGAATGCTTCAAGAACCTGAAGGTCAAGGTGGAGAAGGAGTATGGCGTGCGAGAGATGGTACGGAGGGTCCCTGTGTCTGGGTAAGGGGGGAGAGGAACCAGGGGAGTCGGAGCCCAAAGAGGCCCAGCAGAGGATCCTGCCTGCCCTCAGGGAGCCGGGATTGCTGGAGCTGACCTAGGGAGGCCCTCCTATGAACTTGGCCCTTTCAAAGTCACGGAGAATGATAGTGTGCAATACTCAAGGGACTGTATCACCTCATTGCTGACTTGCGTACTGCATGCCAGGCCTGATCTAAGTAAGCATATGATATCTACTGGGCCAGTTAATCATCCAGAGCCTGGCAGGGAGGAGTGGTTGTCAACCTCTGTGTCTCTTCTGAGCTGTCAACCTGCCCAAGTTTATGGAGAGAGTGAGTGAAGGTCAAGATTCACACTTGCTATGTTGACACCAGAGCCACTGCTTTGGCCATTGAGCTCTGTGGCCTCAAGAGGCTGTTGGCCTGTTGCTCCCAGGGACATCATCTTTATCCTCTTCCCCGTAAAGTGGAACAGTAAAATGTCAAGGCTGTGCAGTCCCTTAGAGACCGTCAGATCCGACCCTCTCATTTTCAGAGATCCAGACAGGAAGGCGGGTTCCTGGAAGAGCCTTGGGTCTTCTCCACAGGACAGGTGGCCTTGCCAGCACCCTGCAGGCAGCTCCTGCAGGGCAATTCCAATGCAGATAACTGGATTTAAGTCAAGTTTCCCACGTTCAGAACACAGTCTCTCCCTTTAGGGGCCAGCCCCAAGCTCCAGGGCCCATCCACACTGCTGCCCACCTGGCTGCACACTGGGAGCTTTCCCACTACCCCTCGGGTCTGGTAATCTGCAAACACAACCTGTGGGACTCRGGAAAGCACTACACAGAGGGTGCCTGCTTATGATGAGTCCACTCAATGGTTTTTTTGACTTTATGATAATGTGACAGCAATATGCAGTCAGTGGGAATCGTGTTTTGAATTTTGATCTTTCCTGAGCTGGTGGTGCTACGCGGAACATACTCTTTCAAGCCACTAGGCTTTGGAAGCACGGCTCCCAGCTGACCCCTTCAGTGCACTGTGTCACTAAGCCCAGATGTCAGCAGGCCAGGTGGACTCCATGTGGTTTTAAATTGTGATCTTTTCCATTTATGATGGATTCATGAGCATGTAACCCCATCATACAGGAGGAGCTTCTGTTTGGGATCAAATCAGGATGACTGAGATGAAGAGGCATATTCGAGTTAGGTGCCGTGGTGGTGCACGCCAGTAACTTCAGCCACCCAGGAGGCTGAGCAGGAGGATGACCAGTTCCAGGCCAGACTTACCAACTTCACAAGGTCCCATCTCAAAATAAGAAGATCTGGGGCATGAAGCTCAGTGGTAGAGTGCCCCTGGGTCCAGTCCCCATGAACTCAAGAAAAGAAAAGACCTGCATAGGGTGCATTCTAGGAGTTTCCAGGCCCTAAGGACACACCCTGCTTCTGACTCCTTAATGTATAATTACCCACTGGGAGTTCTCCTGAGTTTGTGTGTCCAAGGTTCCACTGGATTGAAATCCATCTCTCAGTCCTGTCCCCTCCCTAGAGGTTGAGCTGACATCACATGGCTCGAAGTCTCAGCCCTATAATGACAGGGTTGGTCTTTCTGGCATGGCCAGCCCCCATTCTGAGCTCTTTCATTAAAGTCAGATGTGGTCCCCAGGGCCACCATGAATAGCAAAGACACTCCTGTCATAGAAAATGTGAAGGATTTAGAGGTTATCTCCCAGGAGCCAGGGACAGAGGCCAGCTGAATTCTTCATTCTATAGCAGCCCCCAGGCTCCACGGCTGAGAAGCACTGTGCTGGTGGCCGCTCAGCCTTATGGTTCTGGAAGGCAGAGGCACGTGGCCCCAGCTGCCAATCACCCTGTTCTCCCCCTGCAGCCTGACTTCGACGACAGGAGAGTGGGCCGCCCCAGGTCCATGCTGCGCTCCTACAGGCAGATGTCCATCATCTCTCTGGCCTCCATGAATTCTGACTGCAGCACTCCCAGCAAGACTACCTCGGAGAGGTCAGTCCCTGTCCCCAACCCCAGAAGAGCCTCCCTCCCCACCTCCAGCAGCCTCACCCCCACCTGCTTTCAGTCTTGAGGCTCTCAAGCCTCATAACTATCCATGGCCTGGGCCATTTTTCAAAGGTGATTTTCCTGAGGCCCCAGAGGGACTCACTGCAGTCTCAGGTCCCCAGTCCAGTGATCTGTTGGGCATCCACAGCTCCTTACAGAGCCTGCATCCATCTGGAATGTTCTCACCTCTTAACAGGGGTCCCTTGCCCCCAGGAAGCTCCTCCCACCCAGATGGGCTGCCTCCATCACAGCTGCCGCACCGTCCACACCCCGTGGTTCCTCCTGCTTTACCCCTTCACTCACCTGTAGAGGTTCTGTGCCTCCCTCGGAAGAGTCAGGCGGAGGCACCGCCGTCCAGTGAAGGGGCAGCAGCCACAGCGGCTGTGGCAGTTCCTGCTCGAGCAGAGGGAGGCACAGCACCAAGTGTCCAGCTGGCTCCCGGGACAGAGGGGAGGCCTGTGCTGCCTGTGTGAGGACCACCCAGTGGGCCAGAGCGGGGGAGGACTGTCCCCAGCCATGTCCTAAGGAGTTCTGTGCGAGCATTTCAACCTGGAGGGAGGGGCGGTTGGTCTGGAGCCACATGTCACACCTGTCCCTGTAAAATCGCCCTGCCTTGTCACAGGATGCATCACTGCAGCTGTTCAGAGAACACGAGGGGTCACAGATCAAGTCAGGACAGGGGACTTGCTGTTTAAGTGACTCGCACTCCATCCCTGATGTTGGTCGTCCCCGGGGAGCCGTGCGGGTATCCTGGCTTCAATGCCCCTCGTTTCTGAAGCTGATAGAGTGGGCGAGGGCAGAGCCAGTGAGCCATGACGGGCGGTCCCTGGGGTGCATGTGCACTCTTCAAGGGGGCCTGGCTGTCTCGTTTCCACCATCCTAGAACCCTTTGGCTTTTCCCTGCCCAATGTGACTGTTTCAACAATAGAGGCCACCTGCCAAGTGCTCAGCCCTCATCTCTAGGGTTGTGCAAATACCCCCTCCCATTTACTAAGGGAAACAGTGGAGAATCCCCGTCATCCATTCAAGTGGCAGTGCCTGGATTCGAATCCAGATCCATGTTTTTAACCAGTTTTATCTTCTTGCCATCAGTCTTGCTACCTTCAATCTCCTTACCCTGTATTCTGAATGTTTTCAAAATTGTCCCCCTAAATTCTCTGAAAGGTTAGCTCATCCATCCCTGACGCTGTAGTGACAGCTCAGTCAACATGAAGGTCTGCTCTGGCCCTCTGGGTCCCCGCAAGGCAGTCCCACTGGAGCTCTAACTGCAGTTTCCACTGCTGTCCCACTTACCCTTCAGCTTTGACCTGGAATTAGCTCCACCCAAGACTCCAAAAGTGGAAGAGGAGCCCATCTCCCCGGGGAGCACGCTGCCTGAGGTCAAGCTGCGGAGGTCCAAGAAGAGGTCCAAGAGGAGCAGCGTGGTGTTCGCAGATGAGAAAGCAGCAGCCGAGTCAGAGCTGAAGCGGGTGAGTGGCGGTGACAGGTCCCCTTCCAGGGGTGGCCTCACTTCCATGGTGCGTCTGGGAAGCAAGGAGGTGAAGCCCAGGCCCGTGTCTGCAGCCAGGGCAGCTGGGATGCAGCAGGATTTGAACCCAGGCCCCCAGACTCCAGAGCTTGTGTGTGTCCTTTGACAAATTAGGGAGCAACTCCAACCCCACCAGCACCCTCTGGGTGCCCATAACCAGGGTGGGGATGYGGAGATGAGAACCTCACTGGGCTGGCTTTGAGCCCTGGGGTCTTATAAGTTAATAATGAGACTTAGTATCAAACAGCCCTGAGGAGTACAGTCCCAGTTTCCCCCTGGAAACCCGGTTTGTTGAAGCACTGTGAGGACTTGGAAGGGAGAGAGGAACTCACTATTCTGGCCAGAGGGGGGCTGTCAGATTAAAGGGCCAGCAGAGATGCCTCTGGGGGAGGAAGCCCCTGCCCAGGGCCTGACTGCTCTTACCTAGGGGAGAAGGTGGAAGTAGCTTCTGTCTCCCCATCCTAGGGGCACGTTCACCTGATAGTCGAAATCAGTGTCCTCCAACATTCCTGACATTTCGGAGAATACAACTGCACAGCCGTCCATGGCAGGCTGGCATGGAATGGTAGAAAACAGCATGAGTTCACTTTCTACCAGCCCAGTCTGCACCCTCGTCCTTCCCCTTTCACGGCTCATGTTTGCCTCACTCTAAGCCCCTGTGCTACGTTTGTCCAGCTGTCCAGGAAGCACGAGTTCATGAGTGACACCAACCTGTCGGAGCATGCGACCATCCCCCACAGGATGTCCATCCTCTCTCAGATGAGCTTTGCCAGCCAGTCCATGCCCACCATCCCAGGTACGCATGCTGCCGCCAGCCTGGTGGGTGGATGGCGACCGTCCTGCACTGCAGTGGGGACCAGGCATCGTGGGGTGAGACTCTGCTGACAGCCAGTCCTCTGGGTGCAGCCAGGCCAGCAGGGCTCCCTGGAAGCCTGGGTCCCTCAGAACCCACTGAGCACCTGCTTTCCCTGCATTCTGTTACCCAGGCCTCTCCAGGGCCAGAAGTCTGTCCTTGAGACCAGTGGCTTTTTTTTTTTTTTTTAAGACCTGGAGAACTATTTCTGGGTTTACAAAAGCTGCCACTTACGTATTGCGGCTGCAGAGTGTTTGACGCCTAGATGGCACATTTTTCCCTCCCACCACTCACCGTCCTGGGAGGAGGGTGGCCACCCACGGCTGGCTGCATTTCATTCACAGAGGTCATGGCAAGCAGCAGTCCTCAGTGGTCACTACGCCATGAAGGCTCTGCGCCAAGAGCAAGGACAGGGCTGCCCTCGTGGACCACAGAGGGCCAGGGCAGCACCTGGGGCCAGGCCCTGCATACCTGCCCCCACCCCCGTCCTCTATCTGGCACCCACAGCCACAGAGTAGCTAATGCTACTCTCCCCATCGCACACACCTGGAAATTGAGGCACTGAGAACCTCAGTACTAACTGTCACCAGCTAGAAAGTGGCGGAGGCTGAGCTTAGACCCAGGCCCTGCCCTTTACCACCATCCCCAGTGACAACCTGGTGCTCTGTGCTTTTATTGCCAAAGCCAAGAGCCTGCTGGCCCATTTTTCAGGTCTTTGGGACTCCAAGCTGGGGAATGACCACCAGGGGGAACACACTCCCCCAGCCCCCCAGCCCCTGCCTTGGGTAGCAAGGAGAAATGCAGGTGCTGGGCAGGAAAGGAGGGACATGCTCACTCTGTCCCCTACCTCGAAGCCTTCCCCTATGTCTCCAGGCCTGGAGCTTTGGAAAGGCTCTGGCCAAGGGCAGGAGTTGGAGCAGCCCGCTGACTATACGTTTGGCATTCCTCACCCAAGAGCATGGCTTCAGCAGTCCCTGGCATGGCGGGGCCTCCTGCCCACACTATGTCATCCATCTGCCTCCCGAGACACCCTCCTGTCTCTGGGGCCCACCTCTCCTCCACTCTTACCCATGCCCGGGTCTCTGCTCTGCTTCTAGCCCTCACACTCTCAGTGGCTGGCGTGCCTGGATTGGAGGAGACCAACGTGTCTCCTCGCCTCAGCCAGACCTTCCTCCATCTCTCAGACGGTGACAAGAAGACGCTAAAGAGGAAGAAAGTCAATCAGTTCTTCAAGACAATGGTGAGGTCCCAGGTGGGTGGGAGGAAGAGGACACTGTCCAGAGAAGATGAGGATGTGTACGTGTGTGTACATGTGTGTATGCTTGTGCACCGTGGGACATGTGCAGACATGTGGCCACTTCCAGGAGGCATGACCAGGGGCTAACCCCATCCAGCAGTGCAGCCACCAGGGCCCCTGCCCTCAGAACCAATCCGTGGTTGCCCCTTTGGTCTTCCTGGCTGAGCCCCAATAGCTGGCCGCCTGCCTTTAGAAGCTGAATTGTTTTCGTTGTTAAGGGAGCAGTTTCGTATTCTATTCATTGTACAAAATTCTTCAATTTAAAGTTAGCTTTGAATTACTGACCTTGAAGTCCTGGCTCCTCTTGTTTCTCGTTGGTCTTTGCTCACGATCAATAAAGTACAACACTGCTGATCCTAAAGGTGATAGTAAACCAGAACTGTGTTATTAAAATAACCACAAGTTTGCTGGGAGTACACAGAGAGTCAGGCACGGCGCTGAGCACTCCCAGGTACCATCCCATTCGATCCTCCACTGGCTTGGAGGATTTTCTAAGGCTCAGTTTGGCAAGTTCACCCAGCCAGCAAGTGGTCATGGAACAGCAAAGCCTAGGTCCACCCATGGCCCAGCACCACCTTCCTGGCCAAGCTCAAGGTCATGACCACTCATGCTCACTCACTTGACTTTGGGCAACCAGTATAGAGGCCAGGGAGCTCTCTGCCAATGCTCAGAGAATCCCGTCTTACTGCTGTTTATCTCCCCCATAGCTGACCAGCAAATCCAACGAGGAAGGCAAGCAGATCCCAGATTTCTCATCCACCGACATTTAGATGCTGCCGACCAGACCTGCCAGGGAGGGAAGTTTCCAGAAGAGGAGAGGCCTAATTATGACACCAAAGCCTCAAAACAAGGGAAGACCCTCCCTGTAAGTTGTCCTCAATTGCAAGACACAGTGGGGCTGACTGAACTTGAGTGGCAAGAGCCCAGCATTCCCCGGGGCAGCCACCTGCTGGTGGGTGGACAAGGAAGCCCCACCCTGGAGTCCCAAACCACAAGGAGCTGCAGCCTCAGTACAAGGAACTGTGTTTTCATTTCATTTTCTCAGTCTCCACACTTAACAGAACAGCCTTTAAATATTCCTTTTTATTTTTAGTTAATAGTTTTGTACTTTACATTTTTTAATACAACCACCCAGGCCCTTTTTTAGCTTATCATCTCCAAAATATTGCTCTTTCCTACTGACAATAAAATTGGTTCTGTGGTTTAAATCAGCCTTGCTGCCTAATTCTGCCCAGGTAGGAAGATGGGGGGCTGCAGTGCCCGGCACTGCCCGACCTGACGTCAAAGCTCCCCACTTCTTCCTGTTACCCCCAGGGACCTTGCCATGACTCTGGGCTTTTAGGGGCAAACCCCGGGGCGCTGAGCAAGTCCACCGAGAAGACTTTCACACCAACATCTTCTACCTCTGGAAAGAGATGGCCAAGCACTGAGCCTGGTCACTCTGATACAGACCCTGGCCAAGTGCAAAAGAATCTGGGGGCCAGTGGACTCATGGCCCAGACCTTGGATCTTGTCACCGGTTCCAAAGTGGGTTCCCCTCCCCACAAAAGAATCCCCAGGGAACTCACTCAAGGAAGGTTAAGAGGCCTGGTCAGTGGCAGTAAAGGAGAATGGAACGTCCTCATGTCCACAGACTGCAGGGGAGGGCCTGGCAGGGGACTGAGGACCCCACCTGGGAAGGAAATTGATATGGGTGACATCAAGTGCATGCAATGAGGAGCTCGGGTCTAGAACCATCTAGAGCCCTTCGGCTGGAAGCTCACATCTGAGAGGTGAGGCCCTGAGGTCCAATAAAGGCTGAGATGACAGCAGCTCCAACATATGGAGCCYTGACTGTCCCTGTCAGTGTGTTAGAGACAGAATAGCTCCAGGGGCTGGGACAGTTATTAGCCAGGTGAAGAAACTGAAGCCCAGGGACAAGGAGTGACCAAGATTGTACACTTAGTGCAAAGGCTGAGGTGCAAACCCAGGAGGTGTGGACCTCTCCCACCCTGTCCTGTCTCTGGGCCCCTTTAGGGCACAAGCCATCCTGAGTCTACCSCATTCTCTTCCTGGTGGCCTCTATGTTCCCTCTCCAAGCCCCAGACCTGGTGGCTTGTGGGGGTTCCTCTCCCCTTAACAGTTCTGTCTTGTCATGATGGTAGCTGGGTTCCTGAGGTGAGTCGATGCTCCTGGGGATTGGCATCCAACTGACTCCACTTTGCAGAGGTGTAGGGGAGTACACAGGGCACAGAAGCCCGGAGAAGCTGATGAGCTGAACACCTGGCCACCTTCCAGGCTCCATGGGTGGACAGCAGAGTACCATGTGCCCTCTGTCCTGTCCGTCCATCCTTCCCCCCTCTCCATGTTTTACCTATAAGATCCTCAGGTTGGCTTTTTCTCTCAGCACAAATGAGATCCTGGTGTTTAACCTTGAAATGTGAGCTCTCCCAACTACCTGTGGGGAAAAATTCTCAATAAGAAAAAGAGAATGGTTCCTCCTTTTCCCACACCTGTAGAAAAACAGACTCCTGTCCCTGGACCTGCGGGTGTTATTTCTCCAAAGTAGGCTTATAAAGCACCCAGATTCAGAGACTTGCTGTAACCAGGGACAACGAGCTTTTAGCCTCTAAACTTGTGTTGCTCTCATTAATCTCCTCACCCAACAACCTGCAGCCCTGCTAATAACCTTCCTGAGTTGTTTTCTGAAAATGATCGATACCTAAGTCTCGTACAAGGTCTGAGGCTACCAATGGTTTGGCCACTTTTCCCATAGAAGTGCAGCAAAAAGCGAACCCAGGGATTCTTGAACTGTTTGAGAGTTGAATCCTGCTTCAGTCAGGACTGTCATCAGGTGGAGGGCTCATGGGGCACTTGGCCAAGAGAATTCCCGATGCCCTGAGTCCACAGAATGTCAACACACTGGTAAGAGTGACACTAACCAATAACATGGCTGCCATTTGTCAGACACTCTGCATTCTTGTCCTAAACCCTCACACCAATCCTATGAGGCAGATATTAGAATCCTAATCATATTGGCAACAAAACCCAAAGCCTTGGTATATTTTCTGTCACTCTAAGTGAATGCCTGAGACTTGGAACTTTAAAAAGAAATACACTTCTTACAGTTCTGGAAGCTGGGAAGCCCAAGGTCATGGCACCAACACTGGCATCTGTCGATCTCCTGCTGCATCATGACAGCAGAGGCTGGGTGCAGTGGCACACATCTGTGATCCCAGCAACTTGGGAGGCTGAGACTGGAGAATTGCAAGTTTGAGGCCAGCCTCAGCAACTTAGTAAGACTCTGTCTCAAAAAATAAAAAGAACAGGGCATGTAGCCCAGTGGTTAAGCACCCCTGGGTTTAATCCCCAGCACCAAAAAATAACATGGCAGAGGGCGTCACATGATGATCACATGGCTGGCTCTCTTCACCTTGTCTTACAAAGCCACTGATGTTGTCATATGAGCCCACCCTCATGACCCCACATAGACCTTACAGAGCCCTCACTACCTCCAAGCCCCCCCCCTCCAAGTACACTAACATGACTTGGGGTTTTCAGCACATAACTTGGGGATCTAACTATAGTGCCCAGGAGTAGAGTTTGCAATATGTCCTTGTCATCCAGCTGGTAAGGAGCACAGCCACTTGTTGATGCATACATTCTTTTTTCTACTTTTGACCTCAGCTCAGTGTCAGACTGCAATCCTACCCATGCTTACAAGGGTGTCTTCCCCACATGCTGGTGACAGCTCCAGGGCGAGCCAGGGTTGGGAGAGGTCCAGCACAGCCTTCCTCCTGCCATGGGATGCTCCCTTACTGTGAGCCAGGTCTTTCCCCAGAGGGAAGGAATGTTGGATGGTGTGCATGGGGGGCAGGGAGGAAGGACCTGCTCTCTGTGTCACCCCTTTCCTGATGTAGTGTTCTGGGCCTTGGAGATCACTCCATCCAGCCCTCTCACTTGCAGTTCAGTGAGTGGATCTGGAACCCAGGTTGGCCCAACTCCATGCCCAGATCCCCTCCTCATGGTGTCCCCTCTGTGGCTCTCCCTCACCCTCTCTCCAGGCACCCAGACTCTGCTCTCTGCCTTCAAAGCACAGCTGGGACCCTCCCCTCACACTTCTGTGACCTAGGGGTGCTTTGCCAAGACGTGAGCAGAAGTCATCCTGCCTCCAGATCACCAGGCTACGTCACCAAGTGGGAGAGAAGTGGGGGCTCCCCGCCTCTGAATGCAGAGACTCTGTGCTCCCGACAGCCGACTTGAGTGCGCGAGTGGTGTGTGGCTCCTGTCTGGATCCTGTCTCTACCTCCCTGTTGTAGCCGGTTCCCTAGGCAACAGACCCCCAGGCAACCACTGAACGCTGCACTTTTTGAGGTCTGCCATCCAAGGGGGTGAGGCACAGGAACAGGAGGGAGCGGGGAAGCTGGGGTGTTGACTGTGTGGGCCCTTCTTCCCAGCAAGCCAAGGAGACTCGCCTGCCAGGCAGCGCTGAGCAGGGTAGATTTGGACTGGGCAGAAATCTACCCCCAGCTAGCAGGTGGGAAGGAGGAGGAAGGGGCATTTACTTGCCCAGCTCGCCCCTCCCCCAGGCCTGCTCCTCACTGGCCCAGGTTCACCCTACCAGGGTTTTACTTTCAGGTGGCTGAGCTCAGCCCTTCCTGTAGTTTCTTGAGAAGTAGATCCCATGCCTACCTGTGGCATCACAGCCAAGTTCAAAGTCGTAAAAGAAACTAGCACCTTGGGGCCTAAGCCATTGGTTTCAGCTCTGAGCAGCAGCACCTGGGAAGATGAACCACGCCCTCCTGGACAAGCAACTGACCGTCCCCAGGTGGAGGGACCCCGTGGGTCTGAGCAGTCAGTTGACAGCAACTGGCTGCGGGGGCAGAGCAGGCCACTGAGGGCCCAGGAAATTATGACACTGAGCAACTGGAAGGTAGGAGAGACTCTCTGACCCAGAGAGACCCTCGTGATCCTTCCATGATGTCCTGCTCGTGTCTTACCCTAGCATCCTCCAGAATGTGTGTGTGTGAGTGTGTGTGAGTGTGTGTGAGTACGTGTATGTGTGTGAGTGTGTGTGAGAGTGTGAGAGTGTGTGAGTGTGTATGTGTGTGAGTGTGAGTGAATGTGTTAGTGTGAGTATGTGTGAGTGTGTGTGTGTGTGTGTGAGTGTATGTGTGTGAGAGAGAGWGTGTGTGTGTGTAAGCCGTTCTTTCTCCATTACCAAGATGGGCAGCCAAGTCCAAACAGTCAGAGAGTCCTTTCTAAGGTGGTGGCAGTGATGACCTCCCATGCCACAGCGAGCAAGAGGATCTGTGGAATGAGCCACAGTGGCAGCTGCATGTGCACCAGGGCGATGATGGGTATTTGTCACCTCCTTCCCCCATCACCCATCTATGTTCTTCTGACCCGCAGCTGGTCACTCCTTCGGTCTGGGCTGTCTGCCTAGTGGGCTGACTCAGACCTTCCATCCCCGAAGGGTAAGAGCCCTTAGGTCCCCTGGCTCTTTGGGGTTTGGGTTGCTTTAACTGCCTATTGACTGTTATTAGGGGTCATGAACGTACCAAGAAATGGCCCAATGACCCCATTGGTTGTGGACAGAGGCCTCCCTGCCCCTGTTGTCTTGCAACAACCTAGCCCCTCCCCCTATATAATCAGGGCCAGGCACCCCAGTCTTTGCTGATCCATGAGCATGAGAATCCAGAGTGGCCAGGGGGCTGGTCACAGTTTCACTCCCACAGGGGCTTTGTGAATCTAGTTGCAGAGAGGCTTCTTCTGCCCCAACCTACAACCATGTCTCTCAAAGTCCATGTGTTAAAATCACAACTCCCAAGAGACTGAGTCTTCAGAGAGGTAATAAAGTTCCAAATGAGGTCCTTGTGGTGGGTGGTCATCCAACATGACTGACATCCCCATAAAAACAAGGAAGTTTGGGCACAGACACAAGAAAACCATTTGAAATGAAGATGGAGATCAGGGTGATATGTTTACAAGCCAAGGAACCCCCCCCCCCCCCCCGCAATGGCCAGCCAACCCCTAGAGGCTAGAAGGAGGCCTGGAACACACTTCTCTCATAGGCCTT